TTCAGGGATCTTATCTATGCACAATCAGCTTGTAACACTCCAAAGAGAAAGGAAAACTTGAAATCGCATCATATGACCCCTTTAAAATGAAATACATTAATAAAACAAATAAAAAAACCACCTAAATATAACCAGGTTCAATTTTCCTTCAAGACTCGATGCGATATTGTAGATTTGAACTTTTTCCTGTGCCTGTGGAGGTCTCAGATATTTGTGATAGGTGTTATCGATCACTTCTTCAGAGTGGTGCATGATTTCTCCTCACAGACCAGCCAGGGCATCAAGAGGACAGCTAGTTAACCAAACCCCATTTAACTTCGAGCGTCTCACCTCTTTAGTGGCCCACTGGAATCCAGCCACGACGCTGTCCTTGATCTCGTTCAGGTACTGCACTCCTTTGGTCACGACCATCAGGAGGTTGGGTCCGGTTCCGTCAGGTCCGAAGCACCAGATCTTACGGGCCTCTGTGACCTCCCACTCGTATTTGTCAGCCAGGTAACGGCCGCGGGCCTTGAGCTCCTGGCGGGATGTCACATCGCCCTTGTCGATGTCTTCGGCGAGACCGTCGGGGAACGGCTTGGCCTTCATGTACAGACGGTTGTGCTTGTTGGGAGACTTGGACAAACACATCTGGTTTGATTCTGCGCTGACCGTCTCTCTGTAGGACACAACGGGGTCCGATTTCTGTTGGAGAACCAGACACACGGGTTACATCAGGAATGGCTGGTTGATTGAACAATTCAGAAAATTTGAAAGTATATGCAGCTAAATTTTATAAATGCAACAACTGAGCCCCACATGACATCGACAAATATATAAAATGTAGCATTTCCGGGAATTAGGAATTCATTCAACAAATTAACAAGGGGGGGAAAAAAAATCTCAATTTGTGGTCACACAATTGAACCAATCAAAATGAGTGAACATTGTTAATTCGTGGCCACCTTTTAACTAAAACGAAAGAACGGATCAATAAAAGCGAGCGAGTGAATTAGGGTTGCAAAGGGGTGGAAAACTTCCGGAAACTTTCCAAAAATCCCTGGAACATTAAAAAAAATAAAAAAATAAAATCCTGGAAACTTTTCAAAATTTCTGGATATTTTCCACCTTGTTGCAACCCTGCGAGTGATCGAATAAAAAGAGCAAAAGAACAAACCCAAGCGAATGAACAAACTAAAATAAGCGAAAAAATTTAAACGAGCAAAGAAATTCTTAATTTGTGGCCACGATTTAAAACAAGGAAACCAATTAATAAAATGAGGGAACATTCTCAATTTGAGATCTATATTTTTCTACTTTACATTGTAATTTCATCCAAAGCATCTACGACTGATTCAAGTGTGCTGGTATTATATTTTTTTGGATTATATACACAACAACTCTATAAAAGACTTTAAATGTATTTGTAATCAAATTTGTTCGTTTTTCTGGGTCTCATGAAATCCGTCCTTCAAACGTCTCCCAATGAAAACTGTAGTTACGTCACTAAAGACTGGAGCATTAAAGATGCACAGACCTTCAGTGGAATGCAGGCGTGGTCCTCCTCCAGATCTTTAAGGCAGATTTCCAGGTGAAGCTCTCCAGCGCCGGCGATGATGTGCTCTCCGGACTCCTCGATGATGCACTGCACCATGGGGTCGGACTTGGCCAGGCGCTTGAGTCCCTCCACTAGTTTGGGCAGGTCGGCGGGGTTCTTGGCCTCCACCGCCACTCTGACCACAGGGCTGACGCTGAACTTCATCACACGCATGTTGTGGGCCTGCTCGAAAGTTGTGATGGTCCCGGTCTTCACCAAAAACTGGTCCACGCCAACCAGACCCACGATGTTACCGCATGGCACGTCTTCGATGGGCTCGACGTAACGACCCATCATCAAAATGGTCCTGGAATAAAGAAATGCTGTGCGTCAGAAAGGTGGTACACAGTTCTGGGATCACGTTAATTAGTGATGCACTGAATTTTGGCAACCGGAAGTTAATTTGAGGGACAATAAATCATTACAACCAATAAAAATACAAATAATTCGCAAATAAATAATTTTGAAGAACTGAGATCTTTTAGTCTGTGCAGTTTTCAGTTGATGCATGATCAAAAAGTCACTAAACATTATTTCTAGAAGAGCTGGGACAATAAATCGATGCATCGCGATTCGTGGATCGATTCTGAGATTTTTGGAATGCATCATGATTCTCTCTGGAATCGATTCTGAGCTTAGTTTTTAACAGCAGATGGCGCTCTAGGTTAATTTTTAACTGCACACTCGCTTCAACCTTTTCGAACTTTATGAATGATTATTTTAGGTTCAAGTGGTGCGTGTGTAAGGAACTGGAAGCAGGCAGAATACGGCTATTTCTAAAGCACGCAGTGCCATCTGCTGTTAAAAACTAAGCTCAGAATCGATTCAAGAGAGAATCGCAATGCCTTCGGAAAATCTCAGAATCGATGCAGAATCATTTCTCGATTCACGATGCATCGATTTATTGTCCCAGCCCTAGTTTTCATTTTAATTTAAAAGTTTTAGAATTTTGTTTTGTTTTTGTCTAATTAAAGTATTTTTATATTATATTTTATTTCAGTCAACGTGTTTCAAGTAATGAAAATCAAATGTTTTAAATGGTTTTAGTTTTAGGTAATGATGATTACCCTAATGTTTGTTTCCACAGAAGGAGCGCTTTCTGTCAGCAGGCTGGAAAAGTGTAAACGCACTGGACATGATGACGGTCTACAGCATGCTTCCTCAGGAAGATGTAGCTAGGTACACAAGCCAACACTACAGTACAGTTGTAATCAAGCGTATATTTATAACTGTTCAACCTGTGCCAGGAAAGTTTGAGATCAGAATCTCTACAATGACGTTCTTTGTTTTACAATCACAGAATTGAGCGTCTAGAGTTTTTAGATGAAAAGGAACTTCTCCAACAGCTTCTACAACACTACTGCATTTGCTGGGCTGTAAAAGATAAGCTCAATCTAGGTGAGGCTTCCATTTTGCCCAATTAACTGCATTCTAGAGTTTCATGTATCGTTTGACATCACCTGTAAGTAATAGCGGACTTCTCTTTTCAGGCCTCTCACAAATTGGGTTTTAAACGTCAGTTTGGACTTGGTTGTAAAAGTTTCATTTGATCAGCAAGAGTGGACAGGATGCTCTTCTTGACGCTTTTCAGAGGATAGGAAGGGGAAGTCATTTATATCTTTATTTCTCTCATAGTTGAGGTATACCTATGATGAAAATTACAGGCCTCTCTCATCTTTTTAAGTGGGAGAACTTGCACAATTGGTGGCTGACTAAATACTTTTTTGCCCCACTGTATGTGGGGGCGTGTTCGAACGAGCCGTTTTAGGTAGGTGTGGCTAACTCTTAACTTTTATAAAGAATATCTCTTTGGATTTGAGACTTTAGTCTTTGCAACTTTACAGATCTTCTTTATGCACCAAGAGCTTGTAACACTCTAAAGAGAAAGGAAAAAATGAAATCGCATCATATGACCCCTTTAAAAGTAGAGGCTCTGATCTGTATTTTGGTGTATTGCATATTCATACAGCAAAATATACATACTGGAGGCCATCAAATTTGAGTGAAAATCATCAAAATCGCTGGCGGTGGCTGGCAACTTTTTTTCAAATTTGTTCTGGCGGGGAAAGTTCATTAGTGATGTACAAAACTTTGGCAACCAGAAATGAATTTTGGCATGACAAAACGATCTTAAAATAAAAAAAAATCTAAATAAAATTCACAATTAAACAAAAAACATAATTTAAGAGATCTTTTAGTCTGTGCAGTTTTCAAGTGATGCATGAACAAAACGTCACTAAACATTATTGGTAGTGCACCTACCATCCAATCATCGCAATCTTCATGCTTTATTACTTTCGATATGAAAAAGTCTAAACTTTCAAATTCTGTCAATTATATATACAAACACAATTCAAGTAATAAATGTGGTATTTATATTCTTTAATGTGGCATTATTGCCACCGTTTAATTTATATTTCATCAACAAATGGGAGTAGAAATAACTTGGTCAACAAAAACTGCCTTATGTGCAATTTAAATGTTTGCAAAAAAACCTGTTTATTCAAAGTGTTGATTAAATAAATTAGATTTATTAGATAATATTCCGTTTTTGGCCCAAATGCATCTTAAATGTTTGGCTTCGGCACAGAATTTTCATTTCGGTGCATCGCTAGAAACAACTATCAGCAACACTTTAAGGTCTCAATGCATTAATTAACAAAGAACAATGTTTTTACTGCATTAATTATCCTTTGATGCTAGTTAATCAATGTTAATGTCAGTTCACAGTATATTAATGTCAAAAGATACAATTTTTCATTTTAATGCATTACTGACTACTGAATTTAACATTAAAAGAGGAGTAAGTGCTGCGTAAGTATTGTTCATGTTAACTAACGTTAAATGAAACCTTATTGTAAAGTGTTACCATTTTATCATTTAAAAGTTGATTTGTGACCCGTGCTGGCGAAATGAGTCTGAATGCACACGGGCTTATTTTGAGCTAGACAAAAAAAAAAATTTAATTTTAAAAAAAGGTGAAATGTCGATTTGTCGAATTTCATGTTTTCAAAAAAAAAATTTCGTTCATTAAGCCCTTGTCTAGCAATCCCAATGCCCCAAATATAGTGATTAAACAACTAAATTTAGCTTGTTTTCTGAGAGGAGTACCTTTTCTCTGCTCGCGTTGCCGCTGACTGATATACGAATCGCACATAAAGGCGTCTCAATGTTAATCAAATGATAAAAGAAAAGATTGCTGCTCTTGATTGAACTGCTTTTGTAGTTTTAATCATCAATTGATTTGTAATGAACACACTAAAGTGATTTTTACATTTGATCATTAGTTTTTTACTTGAATGCTTTTGTTTAGATGTAAAATGAAAAACGTAATGCACTAGGCCTGTTTGCTTCTTTCTTATATGTGACCCTGGAGCACAAAAGCAGTCTTAAGTCGCTGGGGTATATTTGTAGCAATAGCCAACAATACATTGTATGGGTCAGAATTATTGATTTTTCTTTTATGCCAAAAATCATTAGGATATTAAGTAAAGATCATTTTCCAATGAAGATATTTTGTAAATTTCCTACCATAAATATATCAAAACTTAATTTTTGATTAGTAATATGCATTGCTAAGAACTTAATTTGAACAACTTTAAAGATGATTTTCTCAATATTTCGATTTTTTTGCACCCTCAGATTCAAATATTTCAATATTTCAAATAGTTGTATCTCAGCCAAATACCGTATTGTCCCGAATATAAGACGATGTTTTTTTCTTGGAAATACATCTGAAAAAACGCGGTCGTCTTATGGCGCTTTATAGTTGCGCCGCCTCTACTGCCCCGACTCCTAAAAAACGTTTTCATTCCGCGTCGCCCCATCAAGCTCTCGCTGGATCCACTCCTCTGCTATCAATGAGAGGAACGTCTGTACTTCCTCAACAGGGGGAACAGCCACTTTTTGGTTGTTAAAAAAGGTGCGCT